TGCAATATTAATATTGGAAAAAAGGAGGCAAGATTATCATTACAGCAGATGAAACAAATCTAAAAGAATCAATTAAAAACTATTTGACACCTTAGGAACTCCATAGAGAGGCTGGTTATAAAATCAATATACATAAACCAATCACTTCATATATAAAAACAATAAACAGAAAATTTTAAATAAAGAAAAGGTTCAACTTACAATATCCATGGGAATAGGTGAACTACTTAGGAATAAACAAAATATCTGCAAGATATATGCATTTATTCAGCAAATATATATTGTTAACCTACAGTATGCCTGGCAATATTCTAAGAGTTATTTTCTTTAATTTGGAAACTCTGCTGAGAAATATAAATTAAGACAAATAACAAAAAACCTAGGCTCTTGGATAAAAAGATATTCTTATAAAGATGCCAATTATTCCTCAGTTAACTTATAAATTATATGTAATTCAAATTGAAATTACAAACAGGATTTTTAGGGTAATATAACAAAATAATACATTTTTATCTCTAGATACATACATGTGAATAGGCAGATAAATTATATAAAAAAAGTAATTAGAGAGACCTTACCCTCCCAGATATTAAAACATATTATGAAGATACTATAATTAAAACAGTTTGATACATACAAAGAAATAAAGAATAACAGATTAAAGGAGCATAATAGAAAGTCAAGAAATAGATCCAAATATATATGGTTATTTAGATTATGATAATTATGATAAAGGTGTCATTTTATATCAGTGAGCTAAAAAGAGGATTATTTGATAATTGGCATTAGGACAATTTGCTAGCCATTTGAAAAAAAATAATTCCATATGGACCAAAAATTTAGTTATAATATTGAGCAGGACATAAAATCTCAAAAATGTAAAAAAAGAAAAAAAAAGTCAATAATTTTTTTTTCAATAAAGATGAAAAAAATTCTAATTTCCAAAGAAAACTATAAACAGGGGAAATATTTATAACACTTATGACAGTCAAAGGACTCATTTCCTTAATTTACAGAAAGTTTTTATGTATTAATAAGAAAAAGATGAACAACCTTGTAAACAATGGGGAAAGACAGCTGTATTTGTCCATCTCTGTTGCTTATAACAAAATACCTGTAACTGGATAATATATAAAGAAATAAAATTTATTCCTTATGGTTTTGGCGGCTGGGAAGTCCACAGTCCAGGGAACACATCTGGTGAGGGCCTCATTGGTGAATAGTGACTCATAGCAACACATGGCAAACAGCTCGAGCAAGAGAGCTAACCTGCACACTCGCTCTCCTTATAAAGCTATTAGAACCATACCCATTACCATCCTTTAAACCATCAATTTATTACTCCACGAATGGATTAATCCATTCATTAGGGCATGGACCTCACAACTTAATCACCTCTCAAAAGCCCCACCTTTCAATTACCATAATAGTATTTCCTATCATCAACACTATTAAAGTGAGGATTAATACATGAAACTTTGGGGGACACAATTCAATCCATAGCAGCAGCTAACAGAACGAGAAATACAAAAGGTTAACAAACCTATGAGAAGATCCTTAGTCTCACTTATAATCAAAGAAATCTAAATTTTTTGGAGCACAACACACACACACACACACATCAAAATTTAAGGGGTGGAAGTTGGCAATATGTATAAAATTTAAAATGACCATTCACTTTGACGTAGTGATTTTACTTCTAGAAATTTATCCTAAAGAAATAATACCACAATTGCCAAAATATATGTATACAAAAGTCTTCATTGCTTTGTTTTTGTAATAGGCGAAGATAAACAGCTAAATATCAATTGGTAATGCATTTATTAAATTTTGGTAAATTCACACTGCAGAATATTATTGTGTCTGATAAAAAATTTACATGGTATATCAGGTGAAAAAATAGTTTCAGAATAATATGCATAGTATGATCCCAAATTATTTTTAAAAGATATATGTGTACAAACACACAGATAATGTATCTACATATACTCATACATTTTTGTTGATATATATGAAACAACAACAAAACCTGAAAAGAATCAGCTGAAAAAGTTAGCAGTGATTTTCACAGGATTTATTTTAGAATTGAAGTAGATTGGTTATTACAGTGGTTAACAGAGGGGTGGAAAAACTGAGACTTTTATTTTCTGCTCTCTTCTTTTCCTAGTTAACATTTGCTTTCCTTCATCTCAGCTCAAAATTTCATTCCCTCTGCCCCAGCGAGGAAGCCTTCCTTGATCCCCAGACTATGCTGCTTATACTATATTAACAGTGTTCCTTTCCTTCACAGTATTTTTCTCAGTTTATGTGTATGTGTGCTTATTTCATTAAAGTCTTGTTTTCACTATGAGAGCAAAGTCTGTGTTTTTGCTCACCAATATATTCCCAATAAGCACAGCACTTGTGGCAGCTTTTCCTACTCCCCTTCCCCTCCCAACATAATGATATGGACAATTGAATTTTTCTCAGTCTTATAAAAAGGGCTAAAAAGGGCAGCTTTTAGACATCCCCCCCAATCACACATACACAGTGAAGGAGAACACATCAGAAACAAACAGCAAATGTCACATCATGCTAAATGGTGAAATATTAAGGGAAATATTATGAGAAATATAGATATTGAAAAGAAAAAATGAAAAATAATCATTTGCAGATATTATGTATGCATACCTAGAAAAAAACAAAGATATTAACTGAAAAACTATTAGAAATAATAAGAAAGATCACAGGGATATGTCATAATTGCTTTTCTTTAGACAGGTAATAACCTGGTAGAAAATATAATCATAATGAGAATGTCATTCATAAAAACAGAAATAAATAAAATACCTAGGAATAAACTTAATAAGTAATAAGTATGAAGAAACATAAAATTTATTGAAGATCACAAAAAATGGATAGAAAGACTCCATTTGTACAGATGTCAGTTCTCAAATTAAAGTTCAGATTTATTGCAAGTATTGCACTAAATGTCAACTGTTTTGTCCTGTATATTGTTGTTCAACTTGGAACTTGACACATCTGCATACATATACTTTTTATATTTGCATGAAGAAAGGTGAAAAATGTTAAAAGTGGTTGGTGATAGAACAGGCATTGCAGGGAACTTGAACATTCTACTTTACATATCTGCACTATTTGCAGATTTTTTTTTAAAAGAATGAGTGTATAACTAGAGACAAAGAGAGAGAGAGAGATTCTATTGTGGGGATATATCTTTTTCTAGGCCAGTAGTTCTTAGTAATTTTTTTTTTTTTTTTGCGGCTGGCCAGTACTGGGATCTTAACCCTTGACCTTGGTGTTAGTAGCATTAGGCTAAGTTAGCTCTAACTGAGGTAACTGGCCAGCCCCTTAGTAATGTTTAAAAAGTCATATATACCTGTGAGAATCTGATGAGAACTATGAGTCCTCTTCCCACTAAAATGAACATATGTATGCACACAACTTTGATACAATTTCAGGTGGTCCACAGAGTTGGCCCGGTGAGAACACCTGGTCTAGGTTAATCAGTGTGGTCAATGGGGACTGTTACTTCGGTCTGGGAATACATTTGGCTGAGGGTGCACTAAGGTGGATGTGGACTGGCAGGCAGTGACCTTGGCAATAAGCTTAGGTTCTCTCTGGGTGCCCTGGAGGTAAGGCCAGAGGTGAGAGGTTCAGCAGGCTGCACCTCTCAGGCCAGGTGGACGCAGCAGACAGTGTTAGCAACAATGTTCACCTGGGCACCACACCGTGAACAAGGGCAAAGGGGTAGGTGGGAACAGCAATCCCCTCTATGCATCGCTGAGTCACCCCTGTGGGAATTTGGTGGAGGGAGCCAAAGGTATTTACTCAGGTTGGTCACCTAAGTAAAGGTGGCATTTACCACTTTGGTCACCAGTTCATGCATATTTTTGGAGTGAACAACAAACTGTATTCAGTGCCTGAATACAGGGGATGAGAGGCTCTGGAATGTGGGAGGGGTGGGAAGACATCACCTTGCCCACCTTTTGACAGGGCAGGAGGATCAGACCATTTCTGCATTCCTCACACCCTCGGATGCCTCAGCCTTAGTAGACTGGAATCTAATCCAGGGGCAGGTGTTCAGAGCAGCCATCAAATCACAAGAGGTTCACACAACAGTTGGCCAAGCCTTTGGGACATTAAAAACATGTTTTTCTTTAATTAAACAAGACAGAATTGTGTTGCTTTTATTTTATCAAATTGCAAGTTAGTCCAAAAGTAGAAAAAGTAATGAATCATTTCTGTAAAATGGCCAAGATTACATAACTGGTTGTCTCTTCGTGGACTAATTCATTGGTCATGTAAAAAATTCCAGTTTTCAGTTTTAAAGCAAGTTGGTATGTTTTGAAAGCTACTTGGTTGTAATCAGTAGAAATATTTTACTTGTGTTACAAATAAATATAATAAAATTAATTACGCCTTGTGGGTTTTTTTCCTCCCACTTAAATTCTTCTCCACTCAAATGAAAATAGCATCACTTTTTTTTCCCGGTATAAAAGTAGTGCATTAGTGATTTTTAAAAAATGAACAGAAAAGTTTAAGAAAGTAAGCCCCTCCCACTACCTATCTCCTTTTCTGAGATCCTGCCTATCCTTTGGTATAAGGATGCAGGGAAAATGTTGGACCGGGGGGAGGGGGGCGTGGGAGATGAAGGGAAAGGCAGTTGGACTGGGAGTAGAGAAGAGAAAAAAATTCCTTGAAAAACAAGAAAAGGCCAATGGACATGAGAGTAGATGCAGTCCGTCCCTGTTAACCAAAGAAAGGCAAATTCCAGCTACAAGGAGAAGCACTTCTGGTCTCTGGGGTTGGAGAAGAGGAAAATGAGTGGCAGGACCTGATGTGGCAGGGAAGGAAGGGGGAAGGCCGGCCTCTGCAGCACTGCTGGTGGGAGTGGTAACTGGGGTCCTGATCTCACGGGTGACGTGTCCCTCACGTGAGCGAGAGCCGACGTGTGCAGAAGCCCTTCTAGTCCTGGTCTTCGTTTGGTCCGATTGCCCGGTTCCTATTGCCCAGAGGGCGGGAGGGCCTGTGTCCGGGAGAGGAGGAGGCGGTCTGGATCCCAGCAGGTCTGTGTGTGGATGGGTGCTGCCTGGGGGTCCCTGCGGTGCGGGCAGCGGAGGGTGGAGACCGAAGGGGGACGCGGACTGCTTTCTCCACACCCTTGCACTATTCCCGGCCCTTACTAGAACAAAAGTGGTGGCCCGTGGGGGCTGGATTCCAGGGTAGACCCCAGACCGGGGCGGAGGAGGAGTCGGGGAACTTGGGCATCCAGGGCCTTGAATCGAGAGGGGCAGGTACTAGGATTCGTGTCCTGTGTGCTGGTCCTCTACCAAGCCAGAATACTGGGGCCGTGCGTCTGTCTGTCATTCACTTGTCTTTCAGTAGGGCGCTGTGCCATTTGGAGCAAAGGAATAATCTGCCTCGAACCCCTGCAGGTCAGTGTAAAGCTGGGCTTGCCCGCGGCCCCTGAAGGGCGGGGATGGCTGAGGTGCTTGCCTTAACTTTGGCCCGTTATAACCTGACTGCCCAGCAATCTCCCTGCCATTTTTTGCAGGAAAAAGGTTGTGACCGCCTACAGGAAAAATGGTTGTCCCGGGGGTGGGAGCGCTGGGGAGGCGGACAGAAGTGATCGTTCGGGCTTTCGCTCCGCGGGCTTTCC